GAGCTCCCAATTGCACATTATAACTGAATCTGGAATAGACCAAGATTAAACCAGGACTAGACCCAGACTGAACCAGACTAGAACAAGGCTAAGCCAAACCACTTAAACTGGGCTCAAACCAGGACAAGCGTAAATGCAGTTAATGATTTGTTTATTTTAATAATCTTGTCTAAAAAGCATGGGTTTTAGTATAATTTATATCACATTTATGTACACTGCTTGTAAATTAGCCCACATTATTTTCAGATACAATAATAATTTAGCTCTTTTCAACTAAAATGAATAATAATCATCATAGAATAACTGCCTCCATTACAAGCCCAAATTAATTAATCAATTTGCTATAAAATGTCAAACAAACAAAACTACAAAACAAATCCAAAATTGCCAGTGCAAAAAGACACAGCTAAATGGAGCATGAAAAAGGCTTTTTATTAATTAGTGACAGAAGAAGAGCAAGAGTGATACAGTGGGTGGTTCCAGCTATTTGGATTTTTTTTTTTTTTTTTTTTTTTAGGCTAATGGATACTCCCCAAATGTAGACTTTCCATCTAAAATGCATTAATCCTGAATAATTATAATATGGATTAACACACATCATTATCAACACATTCTTGAATACAGGTTTCATTCATGCATTCTGAGCATCCTAATTATTCACGAGGATGAGTTTTAAGTGCTTTTTCACAACTTTCAGAGAGGAGTTTTGCTGACAGTAAAGTTAACAACAACTACCATGCTAATGAGCAATTTCTGATTACTGGACAATAAAATGTGCAATAATTAGATTTCAGACAACAGATTTCAGTGGATTTATTTGTCCTTAAACTTGATTTATCCCTGAAGAAGCTCCTGTCCATCATGGATAAACCCCAGCACACCCTGCACAGCACTATCACCAGACATGAGAGCACCTTTGGGACAGGCTTTTGTCCCTGTCCTGCTCCATGGACAGACTCTGGAATAGGTTTATCCCACATGCCATATATCTTTACAAAGCATCCCAACAGCTGATAAATGCAAGAGGATGCACTGCTGTGTTGCTATGTTGCTGGTGCAGAGCTTTGAATTTCCTTGGGGACCAATAAAGTATCTATCCATCTATCCATCTATCTATCTCTATCCATCTATCCATCTATCTATCCATCTATCTATCTGTCTCTCTATCTATCTATATACTTTGAGCTCAAGAGCTGCTTGAACAATATACATATGTACTGAAGCAAGACAAATTTAGCTTAAATGGATGACCCAGCAAATTCTCATTACTCTTGAGATGTAGTGATCTTTCTTTTGAGTTATCTGTCCATAAACATCTTTTGAAGGACAAATCTTTGTGGAGGCAGGAACAGGTTTGCTGACTCAGACTTTTACGATAAATGTCAGAAAAAGACAAACCTTGACAAAGTCTGCTGTGAACAAAAGCTTTTTCTGAGATGTACTGGAGTTAGACTATTTCGTCTTGTATTTCATCATGAAACTAATACAGATAGTACAATGTTGGGCACTTTTCCTCAACACTGTCATAGTCGCTAATAAATGAAAGACTCCAACAGTGGTGGTGACCTATGATCTCCCATCCATCTACCTTACCTTCACTTGTCTTACCCCCACCCCCTACACCTCGCCCCTCCTCCTCTTGTCATCGTGGAACAAGGGCTATTGGTGGTTTTCAGATCCTAGAATATGACCACGTTATTCTCCCAGATGGGGGCAGGATCCAGTTTTCCATATTGATTATACTGTACTTAGACTTAGACCTTGGAGTGTGCTCATCTGTATTAAACAGAACTGGCCTGTAGTTGCTGTGATCTATAATCTAGCACTGTGGGGAGGGCCCAGAGTCTTAGCTCTGTGTAGCTCTCCCCACACAAGTCCATGTTTGCCTCGCTGTTCTAAGCCTGTAAATTTGTCTGTGTGTACCTGGTTGCAATTTTTAGACAAGAATGGGATCCTCTATGAAAAAGGAAAAATCTCTATGGGTCTAGGGGGCATACTGGTCTTGTATGAACTTTCTGTCTTGAAGCATCACCCATGTGTGGACCTTTACTCTACCCCAGTTTGACCTGCATCAGTCCAGACACATCCACCACCTGACAGTTCTTGACTGTGGTTCTCCTTAAGGTTTTTCTTCTTTGAACTTTCCATGTCTTTTATTGACTGTTTTCTGTTGGTATAAAAGGTTTCAGTGGTGGAATGCCACCTTTGAAAATATTTAAATTGATTTGAGGTGCTTTCAAAAACATTGGTGATTAAAATATAAACACTGGCCATTTCAAAAATACTGAACAGAACTTTAAAAGGTTTTCTATCAGACACGACCCCTGAACAAATGACAGATTACACCAACCTTTTAGTTTGCTGTGATCTTGTTGCAGATTCTAAAATGGAACGATGGGGGCAGGAGACAGTTTATCCTGTTGATGACACTGTATTTTGCCATGAAAGATCCAAAAGATAAATTCACTCATGTTAAACCTGATGATTTCTATGGGGGCTAGACCCAAGAACTGTATTAGAACAAAAATCTGACTTTTGGTAGAACTGTGCTGCATGACTGTATTTCTTTGCTTTTTATTGGCAATTTCTTGTTTTGTTTCACTGCACAACATTTTGTTTCTTCGACACATAGACTCAGAACAATGTTATTTAAGGAGAGAAAGGTTCAGTTTAACCAAAGTCTCAATCAGTGATGAATATGAGAGTAACCTGCTGAGTCTCTGTTGCTTAAATGTTAATTAATCTTCTCCGACAGCACGAGTGACAAACTTAATAGGTTGCAGAGCTGTAGACTTTTTATATTTGTTATTAAAATATAGCAGCTCTTTCACATTTTATATATGTTTTGAGCTTTTACGTGAGAAAATGATTCAGCACTGATACTTATATATCTTTGCTACTCACAAGTTCCAAAGGCTGTAATGTTATCTGTGTAACCTCTATTGTGGCATACAAAGTCAACTGCAATTTGGTATCAACATTTTTAAAAGTTGGTCTGACAAAGAAATGCTTCAAAAGAGGAGCTTCTGTCTGATGTAAAAGGTGTGTTAAACAGCTTTGTTACATTGAAATCTCATGTTGCCTTCAATAACAACGTTAATGCTTTCTGGAAGGTGCAAATAAGGTGAAAACTATGCTATAAATAAACTGTTCCCTGGATTATATTGTGAGGTGTAAACTGTTCGCCATGCCTCTGATGTCTGTCAATGAAATCGGATTGTTCAACCTTCACCTGGACAGAAGCACCCTAGAGAGTTGGACAAGAGGTAATTTTGTGGCAAGAGTCAAGGTGAGAGCATGTTTTTATAAAGGCATAATGGAACTGAACCGAGGATTTACTATGAGATGGTGTTTATAGTCCAGAGCGTGGGGGATATCTTAGTGAAAGCATTAAGACATCATAACAGCAAAACGAAGGGAGGGAAAAAAGGCTGTTAAGTGCAAATAGCTTTCCTGTTTTTGTTATCTCAAAAAAAAAAAAAAAAAAAAAAGATTGGAAAAAGTGAAAATAAAATGTCATTGCTTTTATTTCTACAAAGGTGTTTGGACGTTTGTGAAATATGTAAAAAGTTTGACCGAGCACAAGTTCATCTCAGAGGAATTTGGGATTTAGAAAGCAGTTTTCTCAATATTGCAGAGAAAATACAGTGCCTATTCCAGTCCAGTAAAAACAGCCCTGAGAGCAATGTGTCCAATTAACAAAACAATTCAATAGCTTCTCCATTATCACATCAGCGAGTGTGGTATTGCAGCCAGCAAATACTTCTGTGCAAATTAAAATCAACAATTAGACAAAAGTTTGTTCTTTAACTGCAAATCCTGAGTATCTCTTTAAACACTCATTCATTTTTATAGGTCATTTTACTTGGGCAATAAATGAAGCAATAGCATTTCCCATCAACAGCTCATTCTCCAGAGACTGTGTCCAGACAACATAATGTGTTGGATGTTTCGAATAAATAAGCCTATGCGAAATTCATGATTAAGTTCATATTTATTTATTTGTAGGCTCTTGTTTTACAATACCATGTTTATTGTTTGTTAATTGTTGTTATTTTTGCATTTTAGTTAAAGGTGCACTGTATAACTTCTGGTAGAGGGCCCGTCACTATCCTCTTTTCATGGAGATGCTTCCTGAAATGGTCCTCAGTATGGCATTAAAGTTAATTACCTCTACCGAGACAAATGAGGTCATAGGACCAAGTTACATGTCAGACCTGTGGAGAGGCGAGTGCACTCACAGTAAAAATTTAAGTTTTAAAGTCACTAAAAACCTATGTTATTGAGTAAATGCAAAATAGGTACATTTAATGTCATATCAGGGCATTCCAGACAAAGCAACAACGTCTCCATGGAGACAAGCAAATGGCAGACCCTCCATCAGAAAATTTATGCAATGCACCTTTAAAGAAGACATATTTTATTGTTGTCCTGAATGTTTGTCCTGGAGTTTGACATTTTAATAATCACATCTGTGCATACAGTAGTAGACAGAGAATTTTCTGAACGCTCAAGTTGCAAAAATGCTTAAGTCTAAAATACAGAGAGAAATCATTTTTAACTAACCAGGCGACAATGAAGGATTACTTAAAGGTGCACTGTGTAACTTTTCGGTTGGAGGTTTTCGGTGGATATGTAATTGCTCTGCCTGGATTGTTCCACAATGATATTAAACTGCTCTGCATTTGCTGCTCACATTTATTCAATTACATGTGGTTCTGTAGCTCAAAAATACCTAGAAAAACATTCTGACTGAGCAGGATCGCCTCTCCACAGATCTGACTGTCATTTGGTCTGATTTGGTCTCCACGAAGATAGAAAGTTTGATACTGTGAAACATTCCAAACAAAGCAATAACATCTCCATGGAGAAAAGCATGACTATTGTTTAGAGTTATGTCTTGAACAGTTCAAACCACAGCGCCACCATGAGACCAGCGCAAAACACTGCAACTCTAAAAACATCAACAATTTTAAAAAACAAACAAACTCCATGTTTGGTTTATTGCATGTATTTATTGTCCAGTACCTTTCAGTGGTAGCCATGCTAGTTTGTCGGCTGAATCAGGTCCAGTTTTTGAATGTGCTGGTTGATGACAATTCAAGTTTTACATATTTACATAAAACATGGAAGAGATTTAAACAAAACACGTAAAAGCAGAGTAGCGATGTAAGGCTAGACTTTGTTAATATGTTCAAAAATGTCATGAACACAGTAATAAAGGCACTCTTGTTTATACACAACACAACCTTTAACAACTGAGGGCTTCTGCAGAAAAATGATGCAAAACATTCATATTTGACAAGATAAATAAAGTAACATTACAATATATTAAATTTATAGATGTCAACGTAATCAATAAACAATGTAAATAAATAGATCTTTAAAAGGTGCTCAGTCTGAATAGAGAAGAAAATGTCCAAGGTCCAGTTGTGCAACAGGCTATAATCACTGGGGCTATTGAAGCACAATGTCCCCACAGAGAAATGACTGCAGCCTTGAATGTCTTCAGTATGGCCTGTTGACTTGGATGTTGATCTGTGTTATGCTAATATATATTTTTAATGTTGAAACAGCATTCCTCCATTTTATAAGTGCATTACTGAGCTTTATTTTGCCTCACAAAATAAAATACTACTCATACTTACTTTATGCATTTCACATTAAACATCAACCTGTCTAATTCATGGAAAATGAATGTAATTATAAATGTAATATGAGCTAACAAAATCACAATGTAATGGTATTGAGAATTGTTTACTGCCAAAATCATGGTTCTGTTAGGATTTAACCCTGGTTAAAGGTGCACTGCGTAACTGTTCTGGTGGAGGGTCTGACACCTGCTTGTTTCTATGGATATTTCATTACTCTGCCATTAAGCAGCTCTACCCACCACCAGAAAAGTTACAGAATGTACCTAAATTTTGATGTACGTCCTGGTTTAGTTATATTCACCGTTCATCTCTTTCTGATCGCTTATTAATGGTAGAAACAAAATAATATTCCTCCATAATGGTAATTCAAATTTTACAGAGCTTTCATATCTTTGGTAACTGGTCAACTCCTAGATACCCTAGCAAGACAGCATAGATGTCTCAGTATATTCCATATTGAAGCTTCTGGTCTCACATGTTCATGGCAATTTCTAAATGATAATTTTCCTACTGACCAACCAAACATATCAGTGTATCAAAAACTCAACAAAACAACAAAAACAAATCAAGATGGTGCACTGGGCTCCCGTGGAAATGTGACCAAATCAACATTACAATTGATTATTTTAGTTTTTATACACCCCACACATAAAAGAATTGATATAAAGCACTACAGATTGCTCATTGATACAGTGAGGGCCAAACTATCGCTCATACAGAGCTAAGATACAGAGGATGTTTCACTGTGAACAATAGATCATTAAGGGCCAGGTAATACACTTGAATGAACTGTAAACATGATTGTCACATTTCAGAAAAGCCCTCATTACATCTCAAAGATGTGGAAGCTAAGCGATCGGGCACTTCCCTTCAAGTATTAGCATTTCAGTGTTTCTTAGTGCTAAAGGCAAAATGTTAAATTAGATACCAAAATTTAAATTTACACCAGAAAATGTACATGTTACCAAATTTAAAGAATATTTGTGATTACAGCAACAAATTTAAAGATGAAAGATGCAAACTCAGTTACAGTAAAGTGGGAATATTTATATAAATTAATGTGTAAAATTAAGAGATAATTGGACTTTAGACTAGACCAATATGTTTTTATTGCTGATCCCAGGACCTATTTTTAGTATTCAGAGGAATGGTCAATAAGTGCTGCAAATATTTTAGTGCTGTTAACTACGAGTCATTTTCTCACAATTATATGATAAGAAATTAGTATCTGTTCTACAAACACAAAGCTTAAGAATTCCACATTCAATGCAGCATCCCCTTGCTTTAACACACATTTTTGTTTAATTTATTCTGGTGGTTCCCCCAAACTAAATATGGGCCTATGCTGGAGGCTTAACGTCGATACCTGATATCCTCTACAAGAAAAATATCAGTCCAGTCTATTGGCCAACCAGTATATTGGTCTATCTCTACACTAGACAGCTGTATCGCAAAAACAAAAACTAAAGGATACAGTGGTTATGACGTAAGTGCAGTTGGCTTGAAGCCACAACGTAAGTAGTGGTAAATGTAGTTTGGAAAGCTACAACTGAGTTCATGAGGCTGTTACATAAACAGCCCTAGAGCTCATCTTCAGCAAGGGAAACAATCCTGCTTTTAAATCATAATAATAAAAAAACAAAACACTGAAATATTTAAATAGATATAAAATTTGCTTCTTTTAACACAATCTGTACACATCTGGTAACAATACACATACAAAGAGATTCTTAGAAAGAACACACCCTTCATACAAAAATAAGTAGCTCTTTTAGTTTGACTACTAAACTGTACAATTCTTTTGCACTTAAAAAGTCTTTTAATGATGCCGTTTAATCACCTGCTGTTGCATTCATCTCAGCACTTCCTGTTTCCACAGCTCCACACACAGTCCTCCTCTTATCAACTCACACTTGAGTAAATCTTCTCCACTTTCCCGATGATCTTTTCTTCAAAAATGGGCAAAACCGCATCATCTTCACGCACCTCTTCAAACACCACTCCACAGTCGAACTCATCACTGACCTTCTTGAAATAGTACCTAAAGTAACACAAAACAAGTCTCAGACTGGGGCTGTTAGAAGAGAGATTATTATAAGTTAAAGAAAAACAAGTGCCCACATTTTCTGATACTCAAAATATAAACGTCAATTCCATGACTATATTATAAGTGCTGGACCAGGAAGATGCAGTATTTTTTCCAGATAGTTACAACTAAATGTATATTCTATTGTACTGATGTTTTAGTAGTAATATAAAATGTTTTTTTTATTAAATGACCATTAACAATGTAAAGCACAAGAAAAGTCAATGTCCAGTTTTGTAACATGAAGCTTTACTTAATCTTACTAATCTACTCTATTTACTAATCTGCAGATATGGATTGGTATAGCCAAATACTGTACGTAAAAGTGCCACTGTGGAAGTTTTTTGGTTGAGGGTCTGTTATCACTTTGTCTGAAAGGTCCATTGTGTGGTAGTAAACTTATCTATTTCCATGGAGACTAGTAATAGAGCAATATTAATATACATGCAAGATTAAGTTTAATGCCATACTGTGGAACATTCCAGGTAAAACTAAAACACTGCCATGGAGACAAGCAGGTAGTTGGCCCTCCACCAGGAACAATTACATAGTGCATTTTAAAGTAAGGCTGTTGTTACTTCAAAGTAAATATGGATGATATGGCAAAAACACATTTTTTTCTACATTTTTAAAAACATCAATGGGTTTAAAAGTATTGATTTCATGAACATAAACACAACAGACCTCGAGTGAGTTAGATTTAACAGAAAAATAGTCAAATTTCTTCCTCCAAAGCCTGAACTCTGCTCCAAACCACATGACAAATTTCTGTTCATTAAAATCACCTCAGCGTATCACGAATTAGACTTGACTGAATCTCAATCATTCAATCGATTTAAATTCTGTTAACTGCTCAGCCCTGATCAGGAGTAACTGTCCATAACTCACCTGTAGTTTCCTTTCTTTGTGAGCAGCTCCTTGAACTGTCCGAGCGTCACGACCCGGCCTCGCTCCACGCTGGTCGTATACGGGATGGGCTCCTCGCACAAGTAATACGCCACTGTCATTTTATCACCCGGCTGCTTTTTACTGGCTCTGTGTCTGTAAATAACAAAACATCAAACATTAGACATGGCAAATAAAAACATATTAATCAAAGCAAGAGACAATTAAGTTTTATTACCAGCTTAGGAAAGAAACTGCATAGTAGCTAAGGTGCTGCTTTGAAGATTTGGAATTAGAGCAGCCAATTAAAATGTGAAAACAAAAATATCAAACTTTGGCAAAATAAAAACACATAAAGCACACACAAAAAAGAAAAGAAACTGACAATAAAAGAAGAGTTTATCTATTAACCTGGCAACCCAAACTGTATATACTTCATACCATTCATGCATTTCAAACTATAACCTATACTTGTAATGCCCGTTCGGGTTAGGCTCTGTGCGCAGTAGTAGCATGCTAGTTAACTCACTGTGTCTCAAAGATAACAGTGACTTTTATTAAAATCGTAAAACATAAAATAAACAACCTATTAAAATTAAACTAAAATAAAGACTAACAGATTATTTTTGTAGAATACTTCAGCTTGTGGCATTGTTGCAATAGGCTATTTATTATGCCTCAAAATTAGCATTGGCATTAGCATTGACAAGGTTACATGCTGCCATTCCGACATACCGCCACTCCGACACTGACGTCTAATTGTCGGAATGGCAGCATTTCCATTTTTTATCAAATGCACCTGCACTCCAACATTTTTTTTTTTCTTTGGTCGGAGTGGCGGCCTGATTTTAGTCCTGGTTTAGTCTTGGTTTAGTCTTGGTTTAGTCCTGTTTTAATCCTGGTTTTAGTTCTGGTTTAGTCCTGTTTTAGTCCTGGTTTTAGTTCTGGTTTAGTCCTGGTTTTAGTTCTGGCTTAGAGGCATGGCCCCGTGAGAAGACATGTACATGCATCGTTTGGGAGGAGGCTCCAAAGTATGAGTAGGTTGTTAGGATGGCGGCATAAAAAAGTGTCAGAATCTGGGCATTGTTGTTGTCGGAATGACAGAATGTCAGGGTGGGGGTCTGTTGGAGTGGCGGTATGCCGGAATAAGGGCTGTACCCCCATTGAGACAGAAACATCTCTCTTTCTAAACATAGAAATATCCTCTGCTGAAGTATTAGTTTTATTTGTGTACTTTTTAACATGTTGTCATGACATTCACCTGCAACTCTCTGCTCACTGTCTTATCTTTATCTATTTATTAGTTTTAGCACGACTCAGCAAAAACCTCTTAGAGATAAAACTGGACCAGAAGTAGAGACGCTAACAGTGAGGCTGCTATTGTGCACAGAGCCTATTGATGCAAGCAAATTTATCATTATAGCATGACTGATTGTAGAAGTCAATGAACAGCTTAATATTTTTCTAGGCTGGCATGATTCCTTGACATGTCCCACTGGGAGGAGGCCCCAGAGAAGACTCAGGACACGCTTGGGGGACTATCTCTCTGGGCTGGCCTGGGAGCGCCTTTGGGGTTTCACTGGAGGAGCTGGAGGAAGTGGGGTGAGGAAAGTCTGAGAGTCCCTGATTAGACTGCTGCGAGTGGGTGGATGGCATGATTCAGATACAATGAAAGTATCTCATTATTTAAAGCAAACTTCAAGAGGTATTTAATTGCCACAGGTTGCCACAATTAATATTAAAATTAAGCACAAAGCAGAAATCATTGGAGGATTTCAATCACTGTTAAACTGCCTTTCATCAACCTCTTGAGCCCATTTAACCCTGGTCTAATGACAGCATCAAACATCTCAAAACACAAAGGCTTTTGTATTCATGTCAACAACCCCATTCTGTTGAAAACAAAACAATCAATTTTGCCTCAATTTTCTTGCTAAAAATATTCCTGGGTACATTTTATTTTGTTCCATTTTCTTTTAAATTGGTCAGCCACTTTTATACAAATACAAAAACATGTTTTGGGAAGAAGATCAAAAGTAGAGCTACTAATACTATGTTTGTTTTGAGCCAAGGGAAATGAACTGATAGTCAACACAGAAAATTTGCTATAATAATTAAAAAACAAACTAAGAAAAATACATTTTAAAGATGCATTATGGACCTTTTCTGCCTGCCTCAGTGGAAATGGGATTGTTAACTGATGATGTCACTTCTGGGGTCCAACTAGAAACTTCACAGCTCATTTCATTTCAAGCTTTATTTTTCATCAAACAAGAGACAAATACGTTTCAAAAATACCTTTTTAACCACAAATTGCATCAAATATTTAAATAATGTATTAATCTAGCTTCTAGCAACATTACTGCCAGACAGTTTTCCATAGGTCCAAGGCATATACAATGACACTAAACAATCCTATAGAAGAGTTCAATGCTATACGATGGAATATTTCAGGCAAAACAATAGCATCTCCCTGAAGACTTACAGGTTGGCAGGTGACATACACGCCACCAGAAAAGCTATGCAATGCTACTTTAATAGCTTTCTGTCATTCTGTCATTCTGTCACTGTCAAAACAACATATTACATAAAAACTGTGTTTGAAATAATGGGGCAAAAAAGATAGGCTGATATTTTCTAGTCTTAATCAATAATTTGAAGCCATTTTATTGTTTTAATGGCAGAATATTATAGTAAATCTGGCACCAAAATCATCTTATTATAATTGTATCAGAATGAATGTGTGCAGTGGACTTACTCAGACTCAGAAAGCTCACTGTCTGAAACAGCTGGTACCACATTCACAGGAGGACATTGTGTTGGCCGGACTGCAGAGCGCCCCCTTTGGATCACCTCCATCACATACCTGAAGCAAGAAATACCACAAACGTTATTTAGAAAAAACAAAGTAGAACAGGTCATGCTGTTGTTTTATCTATTCACTTTATCTGTTCATAAACAAGATGATGTAAAATGTTCAACATAAAAAAAGAAATATAAACATGTATGGTGTGGTGTTTTTTGCTTAAAAGTAATTCCTTATAATACCTGCATATTTAGGAGTTCTTTCCTCAAACAGAAAACACTCTGTTGCACCTTGTGATGTCATGTGGTAATACAAGCAGTGCTCCATTGTGTTTTTAAATTCCATACACCTTCACTAGAATCATTTGGATCATTTCAGGCCTGGAAATGCCAGTTCACTACTACTGAACAAAAGGTAAAAGGTAGTTGTTAACTTGAAAACAGCCACTCCAGGACATCAAGGTGGAACAGAGCAATTTGTAGCTTTGGAGATGTAGATAGATTAATAATAAAGGATTACTCAGGCATGTGTGAATGAAACAAAACACAACTCCAGTGATGATTTCGATGAGGTAACAACGTTCTAACATGGCTTAAAGCTCACAAGCATCTATTTAGGTCAATAAAGGACCTTTAATGCGTTGATAAAAGCCAGAGATTCAGAGTGTACCTTTGCTTGGGCTGCACTGCTCCACTCTTGATGTTCTCCTCCTCGAGTCGCCGGCACACCTCCTCCAGCTGGGTGAGAGGGTTGGGGGCGGGGTTGGGGGGCATGGTGGGGTCCTGGATGAATGGGTGGGATGGTTGGATGTTGTTTCGGGTTGGATGTCCTGCGCCGGAGCGGTCCTTTGAGCACAGATGTAGTCCCTCATGCCCTGTGGCCTTTTTACAACCTGTCATGCTCCTAAACATTGAACAAGAGCATATAATCATATCATATAATACTGAACGGTCTCTGCTGTAAGTCAACTGGCAATCAGGTTTCAACTGCAATTTATCAGAAACAAGCTTGATTAGATTAGAAAATGCCAAAGAGGAATAAGCAAAAATTAAACTGACAGACTATAAAATACATTTAAAATAAATCAAAGTTAAATTAAATCAAGCAAAGTGGAACAATTTAAAAGACAGCTGTGGCAGGGTAACTGATACTTTGCAGTGGCATCACTCTGGAGGTGTGCTACATGCATCTTTATTGGTGGAATGTTCAGCAGTTACCATGGTGAAATACTGCACTTTAGCAAACACAGGCTAAAAGGTTTTAAGATATTCTTAATATAGTCTCAAGAAAAAATACAAAATGGATTTCAACAACACAGTTTCAGGAGCCTGAGATAAATACGAGCGTTCAGTCCTGTTTAGGAGTTTGATTTTCAACAAAAAGCTGAAAGTGACTGACTGAAAAACTGCTCCTTAAAACTAGCTATCTTATGACTGTAATTTTATGTGTGAGAAGCATGTTTAAAGGCACAAATCATCTAACCTTTTGTACTTCCACCTGAATCAGCCTTTTATGAACAGATTGTGTTCTAATAAAGCTCATATTAAGTCTAACTACAGTAACAAAGCTACTATCAGAGTAGTACTTTCAGTTAGCTTCATACCCCCAAGAATAACATCAGCTGAAAAGCATGAACAAAATGTACGTTAAAACTGTAACAGTTATACAGAAATGCAATGCAATGCAATTTATAGAAGCAGGACTCATATATTATTCTTCATTCATGGTCAAATGTCTGGGTGAAGGGTGGGTCAAACACGTAGATCAAATTTCCCATTAAGGATCAATGAAGTATATATCACCTTGTCGAGTGTGAAATGACCAGGAAACATGATTATTTCTTGCCATAGTAGCTATATCCTCTCTGTTACCATGTGTTTACAGTACAGCTGAGCAATTAATGAATTCAGTCATGTCGTGTTTGGGAGAGCTCTACAGCCAATCCAGTCCCAACAGAAAAGCAAGTGGAGCAGAGTTCAAATTTATAGAAATAAATTTGACTACTTTGAGATAAAAGTTGGTCTTGTTTATGAAATCAATAACAATTTCATTTAGTTTTTGAAAATAAGAAATAAAAATGGAATTGAAAATTGGGCACAACAACATGAGTAAAAAAGTGATTAATTTTCTTTTTCATTTTGCACAGCCCTAGCTTACAATACTGTTCAGTAAAATAAGACCAATCTCATTATCAAACCCCTGGACTCACCCGTATGGACTCCTTTTGTGCCGCACCACCTCTTTCTGTCCGTCCATTAACCAGAGCAGGATCTTCTGGTTCTTCTCCACATCCTCCACCAGGCCTGGAGACTCGTATGGACGCACCTCCTCACTCCTCTTACATCCTCTTTTACACGGGCCTCCTCTGCCACTGTGAAGGGAAAAAAAATATTGCAACTAAGCAATTTAAAACTAGGCAATCTACTATAAAATGTTATCAGTTCAGTTTGAGGTGACTTTATTTGTACCTGTAGGTAGATTTGTTTTGCACCAATTTTCAGGTTTGGCATCACAAGCATGACAATAGCATGACATAATCAAACATTCCCATTGGCTCAAGAATCACAAGTTAATAATAAATATATCGTTAAAAATTCCATTAAAATCACAAGAACAATAAAGTGCTAAAAATGTGTCTGTTCAGCATAAGTAGACAAGCAGGTGACTGACCCTCCACTTGAAATGTTACACAGTGCGCCTTTAAACTAAATGGTAATGGTGTGATAATGATGTGTGTTACCCCGAATGTTAAATAATAAACATCAATACTTCCAGTGTATAAAAATGCATTAATGTCTCCTATTGGTTAAATTACATAACAAGACATTGTACATTAACATATCTTTGAGCTGTCTGGCCCATACCTGTAGCCTGTGTTCTCCTGGTTAGTGCTGTATCCCATAGTGTCCGCACAGGTGCGGGGTCTGGATCCATAATGGCCGTCCGCGCCCCAGTGGAGGTGAACTCTGGCCTCGGCCTCCAGCTGCTCTCGAGGCTTCCCACTGGAACCGTGATGGAGGTGATGCTTCCCTGTGTGTCTCTGTGCATGTTTACCCTGCACATACAGAGACGTCGCAGGTTAGTATTATTGTAGAATAATAGAGAGCAAACATGATTTACATTTATTAAACATTAGTATAGCCAAACAGTAGCTATGTTTACATGCACACCAAAACTCTATAGATTATTGTCTGATTTCTGGAGTTATCAGATTAGTGATCTAATTTTAATTATCTTATTTATTTCTGATTGTCATTAGTTTGCCCTTTAGTTTGCCTTTTTTTAGAAAATGTTAAAGATCAAATGAGTTATTAAGTTATAAAGTTTTTGTACTTCTTAAGATTTATTTAGTGGATGTGAACACACACCAAAAATCTATCAAAACTAAATATTTGGTTATGTCATTAATCTAGTTATCTGATTTTTACTGGTCATATAAATGGAACCACTGATATCCAGTAGATTCAATTCTCTTGTTTTGGGAACAGACTGAATAGAAATTACTTGTTTTTCTTTTTTATTAACCTGTTGCAATAATTGAGAACAGTGACGAGCTGCTTTTAACTGATGAATCCTAACATCCATACCTGCACACTGCACCCTGCTGAGCCCATGTGTCTGCCAACTGAGGGGAGGCCGTCTGGGGAGCGGGATGTGGGCGAGTGCCTGTTGCCTGGAGACGGTCCCCCGGGGCTCTTCATGACGCGCTGCACGTGGTCATCCAGGATCGACTCTGGATTCTCCTCGTGAGCGTCTCTGAGGAAAGGACCAGTGTAGATGTCTGTGCAGTGAGGGTTGTAACTGTGCAAGTGACCACCAGGGGGAGGCCTATAACCAGGTATGGAAGTGACTGGGTTTGCTTCATCTCCATCTTCCTCCTCCAAAAGAAGCAAAGCAAACAAGAAAATGGTAAACATTTCAGTTGAAATAACATTTAATAAGTTGTTCAATATTTCCTTTACATAACAATGCCAACAACTCCATCACATAATAGTTATGTTTATTGCTTCTGATCACTTCTGATCTAAACACCAGAAAAGATTTTTATAATGTATAAATAACAATAAATAACGGCAATATAAATTCTTGCCATTTTTGTGAGTTCACAAACTAATTCAATTCAGTACTCAAGAGTACATTAAATTACATTAACTTCTCTGGTCATTATTATGGCTGCAACAATGAATAAGAATAATCATGTAGTCAACTATTAAAATAATCATTAACAATAAAATAATTGTTTGCTGTAATCTGCTGTACAGACTTTACAGCACATGCCAAAAGATGCTGCATCATGAAATAAATAATCATTGATTTGAATTGATAATACAATTGCAAATATTCTCTGATATTCTACATAAAACATTTTAGTAGGTTTATTTTTATCTTGATCTCCTTAAAAATGTATTTAAAAAATCTCAGTGTACAACAGACATAGTCATTTGACTACTACTAAAATATTCATGTCATAAGTTCCAGTGCTAATCAATATTTTTCACTCTTGCTGTTTAGAAGATGCATATTCTCTTGTGACCAGCAGAGGGCACATTTTTAGTCTCTGCATTACACTTTCTTTGTATGTGCTGGTCCTGTCTTTAATCTCACTGCAGAGGTTTGCAGTTAAATTCTGATGGGGATTGGGTGCATGCATAAATGTATGTAGTTTCTAATATTGACGAGTTAAAGCTTAAAATGAGTGAAAAATCAATCCTTTTCTGACAGGAGCATCTTCAGGGGGAATGGTTGAGCGAGCTGTGAAAGACTTGTGTTTATGTGACATGGCAGTTTCTTCACACAACACAAAGAGAGTTGTTTTATTTGCTTCAGGGTTGAACTTCACTATGAGGCAAAGAGGGGCAGAGATAAGAAGAAGGGGATCAAAAGAATAATGCTCTTTGTTTGTACCAACTAGTGAGTTAGAATACGTTTTTCAAATCTAAACACCAAAATTGACTGAGAGACTGAGTCCATGTGAAACACAATAAATCACAAGCCTTTTGATCATCCCGATGAAGGATTTTATGTCTTTTGTAGGACTGTGTTTCCCAACCAGTGAGTGTTTGAAATGGTTTCAGATTAGTAATTGAATAAAAAATGTTCTTTGTAGTAGATTGGACCTTCTTAAGAATGTTTTTTGAGGACATCAGTATCATTAAAACAAGAAAATAAAACCGTAATCATTGGCAATAGACTACCATGGTGAGCATTTATTTGCCTATAGCAGTCAAGGTGGTAGTTTAAGTATGAGAGAAAGATAAGGGGTACTCAAGACAAAAAGGTTGTGGACTGATTTAGAGGACATCATTAAATTATGCTACAATCTGTCAATTGTTCCAGTACATTCACTCTGGACTTAAAATGCAAGGTTTTAAAAGGTCCTACGTTGTGCAAAAATGATTCTTGTGAGGTTTAAGGCATGTTATAATGTTTTTTAACTCCTCAAAAACAGACCTGGAGTTTTGTTTTCACTGACCCATGTTAGAGTAATTCTTTATTATTTAATCTGTTTACACGCCAAAGCTCAAAATGCTCTTTTCCAACTTGTGACGTCATGAAGTTGTGGTTTTCAAGTTAACAGCTACCTTTTAACTTTTGTTCAGTAGAGATTGGCAATTCCAGACCTGAAATCATCCAAAAGATTCTAGTGAAGGTGTATGGAGTTTAAAAACACAGTGGAGCACTTCCTGTATTACCACATGACATCATGGGGTGGAACAGTGTGTTTTCTGTTTGAGAGAAGAACTCAGCCTAAATAAACAAGGTTGTGTGTTAAACAAGTGTGAATGAAACAAAACAAAACTCCAGGCATGTTTTTAGTGAGTAATCAACATTATAACATGTATCAGAAAATAGCATAATATAGGCCTTTAATAACTGATTTATCAGATTTGGGAGCACTATTTTGCAAAGGCAGAAGTATTTCCCTACATTCACCTACACACAAATACATTTTGCTCTGTGAGATGGCAAAGTCAGAGAGGTTTTATTTAAATGGTTAAGAGACCCTTCGACACAACAGCCTGTATCCTCCAGTAACAATGGTGCACATGTTTGTATTGTCACAAGGCTCCATTATGCGCTCAGACTCAATCAGACAAACAATGAGCACCTTAATGAGACAGGCATTTTAACGTGGAATAGCATCAGCAGTCTGTGAGAGAGCAGAATATTATAGATGCAACAGTCAGAAATTGAGGTGTTGCAAATGTAAAATACAAATTGCTGTTTGAGTGTGTTTTGTATTAGGAAAGGACTGTGACGTGCCACTAACAACAATAATGATTTACGTGTGACTCAAGATCACAAATATTCATTTTATTAACATGTTATTTCTACACTTACTATAAACAATTTAAACCAAATTAATTACCATTCTCCACTCTATAGGGATTTCTCGTTTAGGAGTAGACATTAGCAGATCATCAAAATATAGATAATATTGTGAATGTTGTCTTGATGATATGTAAAATATCAATATCATACATATTGTTTATAATTACAAATCTGCAAATATATTTTAACAATAGACACTGCAAATAATGTTGTCATGATATTGAAACTGAATTTAATTTTAATTTTAAATTTTAAACCAATTTCCACAATGATGTAATGTAATTTCTAGCAAAAAAGTTTATTTTTTAATGTTGCCATGCGAATGTTGCCAGACTAGATCAGCTCAAGACTTCTCAACAACAATTTGCTCAGTGTAAATTTTTTTTTTGTATCTAGTCTAGGTGCTTTTTGTAGTTTTAGTATCTATTAATATCTGGGTATGATTTTTCTTACAACCCTAGTATATTTAGAGACTTCTTGAGTCTAAGAGCAAGTCTACTCTATGAAAATTTATAAACAATATCGCCACAGATAAAACGCTAACTCACATTTGAATAGACACTTCTCCTCCAGGTTTAAAGGGACCTGCAGTTTTTATGTGGCAGAACACACAAATGGTCTGCTCCGGGACCACAGACTTGGCGTGCAGAGCTGAGGGGTATTTCAGAAAGCTTTTAATCACCGCTAAAGAGACATCAAACTGGGCTGCCCACTGATCTCGCCTCAGAGTGGAGAGTGAGCAGGTGCGCCATCTGATTTATGGACAAAGCCAGATCGCACACAGGCCAAGTCACTGCTGTTTTTAATCACACACTTAAAGGCTGGCCCCATTATTTTCACACAAGCCAAATGGATTCAAGTATCCTTTGTAAGAGGAAACTTTCAGCCCCACAGCCAAAAACACAGCCCTATTTTGGTTCAAAAGCTGCTCCACAAAACTGCTCTGTGTTACGGCCTTTTCACTGTGAAATGGTCTTCATTTTGGGGAATTTGTGCTACTTACATGAGCACTTATAACAGGGCTTACTTTCATGATGTGAGTGATAAGAGCCACATTACACCCCCACCCTCAGTTTTGATAATAGTTTGAACAGATTACTTTAAAGCCCCACTGTGTAACTTGGGGCATATTATTTTTACTGCACTTTCCTGTGAGCCACAAACCTGGCTTTTATTTGGCCAGGAGAAGGGCCCCAGTATTGCATTTAATGTATCTATTTCTATGTGGAGAATGTTGCATAGTATGGCTTTAATATTTTGTCCAATGTAATCATACAGGTGATGTGGCACTTCCGTAAAGTTATGTGGTGTTGTTTTAAAATACTAGATAATGTTATGAGAACATGTAGAATCTACTAGGAGAGACTGTCCTTTGGTCTAAAGCTCAGGTTTCAAGATTCAATCATTTATATCCATCAAAAGTAGCAAGATTATTGAAAATAACCATTAGATCAATGTAGGTGTAAATTTATTGCCCTTGCCATATATATATATATATATATATATATATATATATATAATTATTATTATTTATTTAATTTTTTTTTTTTCAAAATGCAGAAATGCTAATAAATGCACCTATATAATGCATTGTACCAGTTATTTTTGGACCAAACAGAAGAAATATGAAGAGACTAATCTTATGTTTACTTTTCATTAAATATGTAAATAAATAAACACCTTTATCAATTAATTTGGATTTGAAATAAACTGCAAGAAACAAGTGAAAATAAATAAATAAATACATGAATAATTACAGTGTTTTAACCAATTTCCCAAGTAATGATTTTAAGGCAGTTATTTGTTTCTACAATTCTGCACCCACACCGGTTTGGTTTAATAGCTTGTATACAAACAAAGCACGACTAAAATTGGAATGGAACAACTCTGGTAGTGTTGACTTTCTAACCTTTTTAACCATCTAATTGTTATGTTAACGTGTTCACATAGATAATAAGACCTGTCTTAACCCTGCACTGTGAGGCTTATTTAAATGCACATGACCCCACACTCAAACCCACTGAGCCCCTGTACGTGTGCATATACTGTACTGTACATACCAATCCAACCCTCTGGAGCCACTCGCCCAGCCTCTCCTCTGCCTCTCTCTCCTTCAGAACTCCCTCCAGTTTGCTGATGAGTTCTGCCGCAAACCGCTCCGGATCCACGTGGATATCCTTAAGAATCCGATTTGGGCGCTAAAGTGAAATACAGAAAAATCATACAGTAAATGTGTGTTGTTTTTTGGGCTGACACCTTTTGACCCGGCCCCTCGGAGATGATATGAAGGGAATTAAACATGAGTGAATTTAATGAATTTAAATGAGCCTGCTACTAGATTTGTCTCTTGAATACAAATGAAGGCCGGTGCCAAAATGATGGAGCGAAAATTGTTATACTATTAAAACTAAACCACTGGTCTCGAGACATGGTGAGTGTACGCATGTTTTTTTTTTCAGTTTTAGCATTTATTAGCATTATTTTTTGGTATTTATTTATTTGATACAGTTTTATTCATGTTCTTCTCTGTTTTGGCTTCTAATAGTTTACAACTTAGATTTAACATATTTTAGTCTTGTTTTAGCTCTGGTTTTGGTCCAGATTTTGTCTCTGAGTTCTATCAGTATGAAGAGTTTGAAATCCATGATACTGAAACTATTAATCCATCTGAAAAAAGTATACTTTGTGCCAGCATCTAACCCAGTTTAAAAGAGGGAGAGGGAGAAAAATCTATGTAAAACCTCTGATTAATACAACAGACTCTTAAACAACGGATTGAAATATGTTCCGATAGACTGTATATATAAAAGGACTTTGCTAACCTGCTAGACCCCACATTCCAAATAGGAAATGTTCACGGGGACGCTTCCGACTCTGGCACCAATTGACTTTACATGGAAAATTGTTAACCCCTCTCTCTTTAACAGCTGCAGTGAGTCTCATCATTTCAGTTTTAAATGTTTGTATTAACCCACGCTACATGATCCTGATATTTTTATTTCACTATTTTGTATGTAAATAAATTCCTATGGAACTGGGGTTCAAATCCACTCCTATAACTGCGCAAGCCTCGTGAGCTTCATTTGACTGGAGCCAAAAGCTATGGGTGACATTACACTCCCTTAGTCCACTTCTTTTACAGTCTATAGTTGTACACCTCATGGTCGCAGAAGGGAAATTTGGCTCCTGCATTTGCCCCAACCTTCGACACAGCTTGGGCAACCTGTCAGGAGGTCTCCAAATCAATTATGTATGTTTTAGTTTAGAAACTCATATCAAGAAGGGCATCTGATCGGAGATATAAAATAGACTATATGCAAAGGGGCAGAGGATATGAATATAACGTCAGTAACAATGTCTAAAAATAGCAACCTGGAAGCCCTGTCAATCCTACCAACAAGTCATTATTAATTTGTGGCAGAATCACATGCAAACACGTATGGGAGTTCACCGTACTCATCCACCCATGCATTCTAATGGAACGCTATGAGTGGATTTTCTAATTTGACTTTTTACTCCAAGGCCTAATTAGGACTGGGGTTTTCTCACTGCGCTGAGACAGGACTGAGCTGCAGTGGGAGCCTGTCACTGGGGAGGGCTCCTGTCTGCTCCGGCACAACCAAGCTTATAGCTGCAGAACATAAGGCTGTATTTAGACAAGCCTATTCTTATACTCCATCATAGATCCAATGACACAACATGGCTTTTAAGGTCCTATATTACACAAAATGTAATCTTGTGACCTTTAAGCCATGTTATTATGTTGTTACCTCATCAAAAACATACCCAGAGTTGTGATTTCTTCATTTACACATGTTTGAGCAATCCTACATTATTAGTCTATCTACATCTCCAATACTCTGTTCCACCTTGTGATGTAATGAAGCAGTAGTTTTCAAGCTAACTGCTGCCTTTCATCTTTTGTTTAGTAGAGGTTGGCAGTTCCAGGGCTGAATCCAAATATCCAAATGATTCTCATAAAGGTATATAGAGTTTAAAAACATAGTGGAACACTTTCTGTATTACTACATGACATCACAAGGTGTAAAAGAATGTCTCCTGATTGAGAGAAGAAATCAACCTAAACATGTATGATTTCTTAGTTAAACATGTGAATGAAACAGAACACATCTCTGGGTATATTTTTATATAAGATGTATTATTAGAAATAACTATATTTGCCCTTTAATATTTTGAACAGTAGGAGTGTAAAAAATCTGGCAGGACATGTGGTTAAATAGGAGAGAGGGAGAAAGGAAGAAATGCGGTCAGAAATAGCTTACTGGGATGTGAGGAAGTGGCACGCGACCATTGGCTTTGACACTATCCACAATCTCTCGTCGATGCTGCTTTCTGTATCTGTAGGGCGGCACTCCATCTCTGGAACCAAATACAAAGAGACCTTTAACCAGGAAATCCTCATAAATAAACATTAGTATGAATTTGTAAGCCTGGATACGTATTTAGCCAGGGTGATTATTCAAATAGAGTCCCCTGCTTATCAGAAAGTAAGTTCTGCATTCAGTTTTGCCTCATTTAGTCCTGGTTTAGACCTGGTTTATACGTTGTTAAGTCCTGGTTTAAACCATAGACTGTTTATATAAATGGACATAGCTAACGTGCTAGCCGCCGCGTTCTAAATAGGGAGGTTGCATGCGGGCCCTTCCGGCTCCTTCTGACCCTGGCTCCCATTAACTTACACTGGAATATTGTAGCAGAGCCTGGCTTCAAATTTGCTTCTGTAACCGCTAGCATCGCAAGGTTCATTTGAGCAGAGTCGTACGCTATGGGTGAGGTCATACTTGCTTAGTCCACTTCTTTATACAGTCTATGGTTTAGACTTAGCTTAGTGCTTAGACCTTGTTTAGACATTGTTTAGTCCTGGTTTAGTTGCTTTTTAGTCCTGGTTTAGAGCTAGTTTAGACCAGTCTTAACCTTATTTTGGCTTTGTTGAGATTTACACCTAGTTGCTGGTTCCTGGTTAAATCCTGATTTGCTGTTTTTTTGCCGCATACACTTCATTTCAAACACATGCATAATTCAGATGAACTGGTGAGAATTAATTGTCTCTGGTGAATAAGTGGAGTCTATTGTTTTGTTGGGTATCCTGTAGCTGGGATATACTTCAGACACTCACTTCCTCAGGGGAATATGAAAGAGTAAGGCAGACATTGACTAAGTCTCACTCAGTCTCTCAAAGCGTCTGTACAATTACCATTACATGTTAATGCTTTCATTTCAGTGTGGAGCTGGTCATGCAGAATTTTATAGTCATTTATGCACGTAGCTCTGGACTAATTAGCTGATAACCGCCTCTAATCCATTTGACCACTAAAACATATACATGTTCAGTTGTGGAGCTTTGGAAGATGCGCTGGCTCAATTCCCCAATGTTTTCTCTGCTAGAGCATGTGCATGCCTGGTCTGTACGCTTCCAGGCACTACAAGTTATATAGAAATTATTTAAAGGTCCTATATTACACAAATCTGACCCAAGTGAGCTTGTAGCCATGTTATAACGCTGTTACCTCATCAAAAACATCGCTGGAATTGTGTTGTTGTTTTTTTAATTCACACATGTTTGAGTAATCTTATATTATTAGTATCTCTACATCTCCAAAGTTCAAAATGCTCTGTTCCACCTTGTAATGTCATGAAACCGAAACCGCTACCTTACTTACTTTTTGTTCAAAGATTGTTTAGAAATGGGCAATTCCAGGGTTGAAATCATCCAAATAATTCTAGTGAAGGTGTACGAAGTTTAAAAACACAGTGGAGCACTTCCTCTATTGCCACATGGCATCACAATGTAGAACAGACTGTTTTAAGTTTGAGAGAAGAACTCTGTCTAAACATGCAGTATTTGCATGCTAAATGTGTAAATGAAACAAAACCCAACTCCAGGTATATTTTTTGATAAGAAAACAACATTACAACATAGATCAGAAAATAGTGTAATACACGCCCTTTGAAACAAACATTACTAATAACATAATTAGATGACAATACTGACTCTTATTGGGAGGCATTTGCAATTTCTGATCATCCATTTTGGGGTTAAATGCTATATTCTCGTCTTGTCTTACTTTTAAGGACCTTAGAAGGAGTCAATTATAAGATAATCTAAATGAAATAAAACAAAACAAACAAAAACAAAAAAAAATTTTGAGTTTAGTTTGAAAGACAAATAAATCAATACGAGCAACAACCAGCACAACTTTCCTCCATTCAAAGCGGAACCCAAACACCCAAAACATACGACACAATATAAACATAGTACATTGTCTCATCTGTATGTGTAAAAAGCGGAGACTCACAGACTGCTGTCGGTGAGTGAGAGCGTATCTGCATCACTGGACAAACTCTGCTGCTCGCTGTCGTTGGCGCTGGTGACAGGAGCCTGAGCAGGGTTCACAAAGCACAGGTTCACTGGCTCTGGACATGATGGAGGAGGCCTATGACAGAAGAGATACAGGAGAACTGAGACAAATCCAAATAATAATATGACTCTAATGTTAACAATGCAGTACTGGAGATATTGTTGTCTAGAAGTAATTAACTGTTCTTAAACACCTTTAGTTTATTTTCATTTCATTTAATCCTTTATTTTGAACCCTGGAGACCTTATTTAATTCCTCCCTTTTACTTTCCATTTATTTATCTTTTTGCTTTTAAATATTTGGTATAAATGATACATTTAAATAAATAACTGCTTTCTTATAGGTGAATTATGTAACCATTCTAATCGAGGGCCAGCGACCTGCTTGTCTCCCTGAAGATGCCATAACACTTTGCCATAACCCTAATTAGAAAAAGTTACATAGTGCACCTTTGAGAAGAAATAGATGAGTCAAAATATGTAGCTACATGAACAGTTTTGCAGTGAAGCCTTTCCCGCAGTGAAATTTAACTATTGTCCTAACACTGCACATCCTTCAGAGAGAGTGGCATTGGACTTCATTTGACACTGTTCACATTCTCATTCACAGACTTGGCTGAACACATTACAAGCCATTGTCCACATGAATTATAGATGCAAGAGAAGGTATCAACTTTTTAATTCAAATTAGACTTCCCTGAGGTGATCATAGCACATGCTTTCTTCACTTTTAGGAAGGAGAGAAGAGCAGCATAAGTTCACTATACAACCTTTGTGGCAGACACTTTTTCATTAGCATCCAAACTCAACAGCACTGCATAATCTGCAGAGGGAAATGACAGCGCTCTGTAAGCTCAAGGAGACAAAACGCCACAATAACTGCATCGTCTACAGTTTAAGACTTCACTGTGGGGTCTTTAGTGTCACAGCTGCTCTGCCCTCCTGTCCGCTAATGAAGAGGGAGACATGCCAGGAATGGGGTAGGAGGGGGAGAACTGGCAAAAAGTTATTTCTGAGCTCATTTAACAAATAAGGAAAAACTTGTTTTCTTTGTTTTATTATTGGTCCACTGTGCATTTTTCTGGTGGATGGTCCTCCACCTGCTTGTCTCTGTGGAGATGTTTTTGCAGTAAACTTGTCTATGTTCATTGAGACAAGCAAAGGGAACACCACTCGCTAGTTACAAAAGAGAAGAGGCTCCACAGATACAATTTGCTCACAGCAGAATGAATGTTTTTCCAACACATTTCATATCAATTAAACACTAGTATCTGAATAAGTGTAAGATCAATATGTTAAATGCTATTCTATGTAACATTCCAGACAAAGCAAAAACAACTCCATAGAGACAAGCAGGTGGCGTACGCTCCACCATAAAAAATACATAGTCCACCTTATGTATAATGCTGGCACTTATGTCTTTTATCTTTTAATTTTAAGGTATTTATTTAATTTTCAATAAGTTATTTTTAGACTTTGGTTTGGTCAAGACTGACAGGTTAAGACAAGTGCACTTTGAGACTGGGTTTTGTCTGTATAGTCTTGAAAAGCCAAATAAATACAATATAGAGCCACTGTGAAATATTGGAGAACTAGTGATCTAAAGAACAAGTAAAGTCCTTTCTCTAAAGATATTTTTATAGTTGAAAAATGTAGCTTCACTGAAAAAACCCAAGGGGAAAATCTCTTTAAAAATGAAGGCTGTCTGTCTGTAGCATTATCCAAAAGCTTGATTAATGAAATTATGATCCAAGCTCAAAGCGTTTGTGGCTAATTAAGTCTCTTAGATGAAGGACCACTGCTCTCAGCCATATATAAATCTGCGCCCTTGATACTGTGTATGAAGCTTTGTTTCAAATAACAAGCAACGATAAATAGCCAGCAAAAATAACATTGGTCATGTCTTAAAAGTAATAGACATTTTTATAAGAGAACTGATATTACAGTGTTGTATAATTGCATTTAACTTAATCAGTATTGTATCTTCTATTTTATGCCTACTCTCTCTTTCAAACTGCGTGCCTGTTATTCTTCCATCTTTTTCTTGTTTTGTTTGTGAGAATCCTTTACAAGAGAATTCTCCTGCTGTGCGGGATCAATACATTTCACACCATCCTTTCTTAAGCCAATAAAATCAAAGCAAAGAAAAGCTACAAGCCTTACAGAAAACCTTTTAAATAAACTATTGCCAAAGTCTCACTACTGCAATGATTCATCTGAATACTCATACATTTGTTGTTAAGATTTCTAACAAATATATTCATATTATTATTAGTTCAAAGAGCCCCCTGCCCCCAAAAAATCTACCTTTATTTGGTTAAAAGTTTGGTCTCAATGAATGTACAATATAAATAATCACTGACTAGTTGACTGCTAAAATAATAGTTGCAGTCACTATCCATATGTTCCTGCCTACAATTAAATACAGTACAAGCAAATCACTATACCCCATTTCAAAGTAGGCTGATTACTGGAAGCCAAAATAAAACAAAAGATAAAGAAATGGCTACCTGCACAAAGGTATCCCATGTTACACTCCTATTCTGCCAGATAAAAGTCGTTTAGCTCAAACCCCTTTAACTTCACCTTCAAACAGTAAGTAAAGCTGCTCTCGACAACACAGGAGTAAACAGAGAGGCGCTTCACACAACCCCATCCCTTTCATGTGAGCGGTCTCCAGAGTCATGCATTCACTCTCTTTTCATTTCAAACTTCTCACTCACGCTGGTCTGGGGCTCTCTGGGTCATTTCTAATTCAGCAGTTCACAGGAATACGCTGTGAAGAGATACAACTGAAGTGGATTTACCTGCTCTCCTTCCCATCCTGCGGTCTGGCAACATGCGGTGTCTCTATCACATCTATTAGAGAGTTTTGGTCGCTGGTTGGCTTTGGGCTTTCTCCGCCAGTTCGTGTGTACTCTAAGTATAAGTCCGATTTGAGGAATAAGGGATATGTGTTTTCTTCGATCATTGCTTGGATCTCTGTTTGGGCCTGGTCAAACATGGCAGGGTCAATGTGATGTTTCAGAACACAGTCTTTGATAAAGGACTTAGTGGCTGGTTTAATCTGCCTGGAGACTATCCCACTGTTGTCTAATATGTATTTCTTATAAATTACTTTAGCTGTTTTCACTTTCTTTTCTTCATAATCCTCGCTAGTTTCAAGTTTACGGAAGCCGCTGCACGCAAACCAAAAATCCAACATGTCCGCACACTCCTCCTGCCTCAGAAACATTCGAAACAGATTGATCCCGTCTTCGTCGTCCAGGAGGGAGTGCAGAGACTCCGCCCACTTCAGGTAAGGTGGTGTTGGCGAGGCACTGCCTTCCGGTTCATAGCCCAAATCGAGGTCTGGGCGCCGGGGAGTGGCCACAGAGGCGTCACATTTAAGGCTCTCGTTTTTGGAGGAAAAAATGGGGTTGCTCTGTTGTCTGCCATCGTTCCACACCAGCTCCCCCTCCTCTCCTGGGACGGGGGGTCTGGGGGCGTCCTCAGTGAAGCTACCTCCAAGGTCCACTGAGAAGGAGGGGATGATGCTCATAGTCACAGCATCCAACACCCGCGTCCCCACAGCGCCACCTAGGCACAAAGATATGCTCCTCTCCACCACTTAGGCCACAGCAAAGACGCACCTGTAAAACAAAGGAAAATTATATTAACAAATCTGCATGACAGCCCTCGTATCACCACAATGTAAGTATCTTGCCCTTGGACACAACAGGAGAATTAGGACTGCAAGATAAATTGAAAAGAAATTGCAATTTATATGGTTCAGCAGCTCCAGTCAAATGAAGATTGCGATAGATGCTAGTAGTTCAGGTCCAAAATGACGAGGCTCATTCCAGCAGTTACAGAGAGAGAAGTGACAATTTTCCAATGTAAAGTCAATTGGAAACTGAGTAGCAGGAAGCACCCCTATGAAGAGCAGGTTAGCTATGTCCATTTATACAGTCTATGCTACCAACTGAGCAACTGCTGCCCCAAGTCTTAAATAAAATGACATTTGAGATTTGAATGTAGGCCAGACTTCAATCTAATAATCCAAATGGACTGACCATACTGACTCGCTGTGTCAGCATCTGTCAATCCCTCCATCTCAACAGTTACACCACATTATGCATAAGGCCTACATGAAAGCACATAATGTAATGGTTGTTCATGTATAATGCGGTTTGATTTGTAATAAGGCCGTCACTCCTGATTTCTGCATCAATGTCCCAGATTTCTTTTAGAGTAATCCAGGTCAAGAGTCAGAGCTGCAGAGCTGTCAGTGTTAATGCCTCATGAATCGTGACTAGCTTACATGACTAAGAACTCAGATTTTTCAGACAAATATTGTGATTTTGATTTGCAAAATACTTTTTAAAATCAAAATTCGGCTCATAGTGCACATTCTACCAAGTCCAGAAGCATTAACATTTGAGAGAAGACTGGAATGTGAGCTGTTAAACTATTACAGGAAACCCATGCATTTGAGAACTGTGGGGTTAAATTAAAGGGTTAGAAGGATTTATACATATTGCACTATAGAGACAGGATATTTTGTTCTCTGCAGATAATGGGCCCATATTATGCTAATCTATGTAGTCTGAGCTAAATTATAATGTTGTGTGAGTTGTGTTTTGTTTCATTCACACATGTTTAACACACAAACCCTACATATTTAAGCTGTGTTCATCTCTCAAACAGAAAAACTTGTAATGTCACTTGTAATACAGGAATTGCTCCACTGTGTTTATAAACTCCTTATCACCTTTACTAGACTCATATCTAAAATTTCAGACCTAGAATTGCTAATCTCTACCAAGATGACATCAAACGGTAGCTGTTAACTTGAAAACTCACTTCATCACATTCTTAACATCACAAGGTGGAACTAAACATTCTGAGCTTCAGAGATGTAGACAGACTAATAATAAAGCATTACTCAAACATATATGAATGAAACAAAACAACTCCAGGTATGCTTAAAGCTCACAAGTTAATGTTGCGTAATACAGGACCTATAATTGCAGAATTTGCAAATTGCAGCCATGTATCTATGATAAGATTTGACTGCAATGAATCTAAGATATATTCTGTCCTAATTAATTTTAGACTACACAAACTCTGACATGTTTTTTTTAAAAAATAATGATTCCTATATGGTCTTGATTTTAGTCTCCTCCTTTTACAGTAAGTATGTACACTGTATCCTCCATTTTCAGGGTTGGATGTCTTGTTCAAGGACAAATGTGCTCATCTTGGGATTTCTTTCTCTCTGCCAACACTGAGACATGTGGGTTACTATCTGCCATTACATCAGGGTCTAATCTCAATGTAATAACCAACATTATGCAGCTGCCTGTCTCATTACAACCGGACGCCTGTGGGGCACGATTTCCACAACGTAATTTTGTTGCTTAATGTACATTTCTGACCTGAGCAAATCATAGCTGGGTTAATTTCCATATTTTTCTATTTTAAATATATTATGCTCTCTCTATCGTAAATAGCATTATTGCAGCAACTGTCAATCTGGTGAGCTTAAGGGTACACCACACGCCCACACACATCCTATCCAATGCAGTTAATAAACAATATGAAGGCAGAATGATAATGTAATTGGCAAACTATTAGTGTTTTAATTTAAGCACATTCACTGAGCATTAGACAATAGCAAATATAGTTAGTTAATAACGGGATATACGTGATAATTACAATGACAGCATCTAAAATGAGGTCATGCCAAAACCAGATCTTATACATCTGTGTACATCTGTTCCCCAGGAGCCAATTACAATAGACTAATATGGATATGATTGCCTGTAAGACAGCAATCTCTACATATCACATTACGATGTTAGTGCATGCGTATCAAGATTTGCAATCTATTCCCAGAAAATAATTACATGACGCTGTACATGACAATTTGAAAGAGATAAGGCAAATAATTACATCCATACATGTCATGTTCTCTATACACTGGACAGTGGTGTGCACTCTGAGCTCATGTCATCTCCCAATGCAGTGAATGACCTGGGGCTATAGCCAGATAGAATGTACGCCCCCATAACACAAAACAGACTACATAATCGTACAATTCAATATATAGGTTATATTTTTTAGTTATGATGAAATAGCTTAATAGTATGGGTAGTAATAATTGTAGTATTCACATAATCAGTCTTCATCTGTGATATTGTCTGATTTTTACCAGCTAAAACATTAACTACAGTGATTCTGGTGAGCTAATTCTCTGGTATTAAATACATAAGATATATATTTTATTTATCATCAAATAGCCTGATTGTATAGATAGTAATCATTGCAGTATTCACATATTTCATCTTGATTTTTCAGATTTTTACCAGTTAAAATATGAACTAAATTGATTGTGGCGAGCTAATTCCCTGGTTAGGCTAAACGTTTCCTTTTTGCGCACATGGCTAATATAAAAAATACCTATCCTAAGACCACATCATGCGGTCTGAAGATCTCAGTAGTATTTGAGCAGAGCTGAACAGGAGCATGTCGGCACCAGAGGGATGTTCGTTTAGCCTTTATGCCAAAATAAATAGTCACAGGTGTGCGCCCTGACAGCTAGCGGTGCAGGCGAGGGTCGTGATTGTAACAACCCGCTCATCAAACCGCCCTTTGAATAAATCATAGGAGGTCATAGTTTGTTCGTTTTGCTGCTTTTTGAAGTGAGCCCGGCCCTCTCTTTCATCACATTCATGTTTTGGCCTTTAGCAGGACGAGCCGAACAGAACAGAACAGCGGCGGTGAGTGGGGGAGGGGATATAGAAACAAACTCCTTGCGCGCACACACTGACACACACTGACACACACTGCCAGGGCCTCTCCAGCAGCCCACCGACAAGTGCACAACTTTGTCACAGTGTATTCCGCCCACCAAGATCACCGCTATCCGTCCTTACACCCGCTTCACTCCGCGCGCAACGCAAAGCAGCGAATATTACCCACGCAGTCCAAAATTACAGAGGGAATCCCGTGGCAGCTGAAGCGAAACACATTTACAAACAGCAAAAGCGATGGCACATACGCTACAGTATCTCCCGACTACCGCAATCCCAATCTCTGAGCGGCAGGCTGACACAAGAAAAGTGCAAAATACTTCACCCGTGGGAGTATCCTTGATGCCTTGAAGACGCGCAAGTCAAGGCGAATAGCGACATAGTTCCATAGAGCGGCGACACTTTAAAAATAACAAAGAAAATCAGACCGCTCTCCACCTCTCCATGGCTGTGTCTGCTGTCTCTCACAGTCTGTGCGAATCCAAGGCGAGCGGAGCGGCGGGTAAACAGCGCCTCCACCGTTCACTACAGACACTACAGGTCAGCGTCAAGAGAGTCCAGTGCTCTCTCTCTCTCTCTCTCTCTCTCTCTCTCTCTCTCTCTCTCTCTCTCTCTCTCTCTCTCTCTCTCTCTCTCCAAATCTCTCATCACTTCAAAACGCGTGGTATACACACGTAAAATAACACCAGTCAGACCATAAAGGCGAAGAGTAGTGCAGACGACAATCCCCTTTCACTCAATAAAATCAAGTAGGCTACATAATAAGGCATACAATTTGAGCTGCATCAGAATTGTTCAGCCCCCTGTTCCCTACGGCTCAACATGTCTGAGAATGTTACATATTTAAAGCATAAAAATCTCCACAATATTCTTGGAACCAAACCATAAGTTATTTATAATAGTTATTTTTTGATAAGTTAATGTGGTTAGATTAGCATTTTACATTTAAAGGTCTTATATTACACACAATTAACTCTTGTGACCTTTAAGGCATGTTATAAAGCTGCTATCCTCTTAATCGTCTGAGTTACATTTTGTTTCATTCTTTTTTTTTTTTTTTTTTTTTTTTTTTTTTACTTTTTACTTTATTAGTCTGTCTATGTCTTAAAAGCTCAAAATACTATGTACCACCTTGTGATGTCATGAAGGTTTTTTTTTTTTTTTTTTTCAATTTCAGAACATGTTTGACAACAATGATAAATGCTATGGATATTCTATTATCTGAATAACTGCAGCCGTTGCAATTTGATAGTTGTGCCAGACTACTATGTACTGTGAAGCCCTACTATGAGTCACAGTTTATGCTCTGAGTACATCTCTGACCTTGAGATTGCATGTTCTCCTTCTGTGTAGCTGGTTATGTCCAGTTTTGTTCATCTATAACCCATGCACGACTATTCCTCCAAACGGGCAATTTCTCGGACATCCTGGCTCCAGATAATCCTACTGCGCTGAACTGCAGTAGCTCAGTGCTCTTGAAAAATGACCCCCGCCCAAAGGGCCCATAATATGCTATTTCCTGATCTATGTTATAACGTGTTTCCTCACCACAAACATTCCTGGAGTTGTATTTTGTTTCATTCACACATGTTTAACACACAAATCCTACATATTTAGGCTGAATTCTTCACTCAAACAGAAAATTGCCCTTCTCTGCTGAACAAAAGGTAAAGTGCAGCTGTTAACTTGAAAAATACCGCTTCATGACATCACAAGGTGGAGCAGAGCATTTTGAGCTTTGGAGCTGTAGACAGACTAATAATACAGGGTTACTCAAACATGTGAATGCAACAAAACACAACTCTGAGTGTGTTTTTGATGAGGTAACAACATTCTAACTTCACTAAAACCTCACAAGACTTAATTTCATGTAATATAGGAATTTTGTGTAATATAGGGCTTTTAATTTAAGAGTAAAATTACACAGAAGCTAATTTTATCTACTGATAGTGATACTGTCTAATAAATAATGTCAGGTGGGGCCAAACATCAATACCAATGCATTTTGAATTACTTCCAGTCTTCCACCCTTTTGACAGTCCATCACTGCGAGTACATCGATTTCTATTGATTTCTTTATTAAATTATGAACCAAGTGGAGCTGCTCTTCAGACTCAACGGATGCACCAACTTTAGACTGCTTCAAGTCACTGCAGAGAAATTGTCTTTTTTCATTAAAGCTGCACTGTGTAACATTTCTGGCTGAGGGTCCGCCACCTACTTTCCTCCATAAAAATGTATTGCTTTGCTATGACTGTGTTACAGAATGGCATTAAACTCATCATCGTCTTCATTGAGGCTTGTCACAATAAGGAATTTTTGATACACCTGTGATAAATGAATGATACTGTAAAACATTCCAAGCACTGCAATGTTACACAGTGCACCTTTAAAATAAAAATAAAAAGTGTTGCCATATTTAAAGCCACAATGAGAAAAAAATGACTGCATGTTTACATAGCAACTGCACAACACAGATCACTTCACAGATAGGCTCTCTTTGATCTTTAGCCACATCATTTTGCATACTCTTTTATGTCACAGACGACCTCTCAAGTGGTGCACAAAGTCATGGTAACAGAGGTAAGTGGGTAATTTTATGACATTTTATATTGTTAGCACAGCAGTATTCTGTAACTTGGGTAAAGTGAGTCTCACTTGGGAGATTTTTTTGCTTCTTAAATATTAAAGGTCCTACATTACACAAAATTGACACGCTTTAAGCCATGTTATATCGCTACCTTGTCAAAAACGTACTTGGAGTTGAGTTTTGTTTCATTCACAGATGTTTAAGCAACTTTTTATTATTAGTCTATCTACATCTCCAAAGCTCAAAATGCACTGTTCCACCTTGTGATGTCATGTAGTGGTAATTTTCAAGTTAACAGCTACCTTTTAGTTTAGTAACTAGTAATTAGGCTCAGATTATAGTATATTAATAACAAGTTGCCCTAAACATTAACTGCAAATCTTAAAGAGTTAAATTTTACTTGCAAGTTTGATAAGCACCTGTTTTTGTAAGTAGCTCTCCACCATCACTTCCTGCAATTTTTAATATTATGCTTGACCTTGCTTCAAATGACTTCTAATTCAAGGCAGTATCTGGTGCAAGAGGAATAACAAAACTATATTAAGGGTGAAATGATTTGAAATAAATTAATGATTAAGAAGAAAGTTAGAGTAGCTAAAATCATGTGCTACAATATGGAATGGCTTAGTATTATACTTTGATCTTTACATTATATTTGTACAACTTAACCTGACATCAAGGTAAACCATTAATTCAAACTAAAGTCTGTCAACCGTGTGAGTATTTCTGGAAAGTATGACTGCGCAATTAATCAAATTTGGTACAATAATTTCAAATCTGCAATGAACAGCTTGTTGCCTTTTCAGCATGCAGTTTGGAGCACAGTTAAACACCTTGGGAAAATAAACTGGATCACTTTTTGTGTTAAATGGTTTTGTCTTGTTAAAAAAAAGTCTGTCTTGTTAATGTTCATGAAATAAAGATTGGGATTCATATTTATTGCTATGCTATTAAAAGGGTCTACATTATGCTATTCTCGGATCTATGTTATAATGTTGTTTTCTCATCAAAAACATACCTGGAGTTGTGTTCTGTTTTATTCACATATGTTTAACACACAAATAGTGCATATTTAGGCTAAGTTCTTCTCTCAAACAAAAAACAGTTTGAGACTCTGTTCTTATGATGTTATGTGGTAAGTGCTGCACCATGTTTTTAAACTCCATACACCTTCACCAGAATCATTTGAATGATTTCAGCCCTCGAACTCTCTCTGCTAAATTCCAATAAACTAAGTGTAAAAGGAGCTGTTAACTTGAAAACTACCACTTCATTTCATCACAATGGGGAACAGAGCATTTTTATTAGTCTAATAATAAAGGATCACTAAAACATGTTTGAATTAAACAAAACACAACTCCGGGTATGTTTTTGAGAAGGTAACAACATTCTAACATGGCTTAAAGCTCAAAGAGTCAATTTTGCGTAATATAGGACTTTTAATAAGAAAAAAAAATCAAAAATTGTGACAGACCGTCATGAGGAAAAAAAAGCAAAGCCATGCATAACATAAAGGGCACAGACTATCTGCAGTCTCTAATTGAATTATGTAATGAGGCGACTACATTGAGAGTGCCAGATATACCAGGGCTATATACTTCACACGCTGTCACATCATGTCATCTTAATTACCTGCACATACTGAGAAATCTGGAAATGTGTGAATAAACCACATGGTATTCAAAGCAGAGAAATAACATGGAGTGTGAGAGCCAAAACGCTTCCAGCTACCAGACAAAATGGATTTGAGTTACAAAATAAAATAAACAGAAAATTCAGGAGGGGCTTATTTTTCAATTAACCTTTAAATGTTTTAACTGAACCATGCTTTGATTCAGTTTCAATTTGTGGCTCTTCCGTTTGCAAACTAGTACTAGGCTACAAATGATCTCTTATTTATACTAAGACCAAAGCAACAAAAATAATCTGCGTTTTCACTAAATGGTAAAATATTTAACATTGTTTCGTGGGATTTTATTATTTTTTGTTATTACACACAGTGGGGCAGTAATGGCTTTACAGTGTCATTGTCCAATCCAATCCACTTTATTTACATAACACATTTTATAAACTGTAGCTGTAACAGTTTTCAAAGTGCTGCAGAAAAAATAAAATATAAACAAATGCTCTCCCAGTGCGAAACAATAAATAAAGGTTAAGATTGCGCCAAGAGCCTGAAATCCACTGACATGATACAAGACAGGACAGCAGCGCTTTTTACAGGAGACATGCGCAGTACGAAGTGATGTAGTCTAATAATCCCTCTATGAAGCAATGTAAAGATATGGATGATATATAAATCCAATGCATTATTATTACTGCATGTTCCTTCTCCAGATTTTATGGGTTGTTTCAGTGAAAAACAGTGGATTAGCACTATTGTTTACTGAACCAGAATGCATCATCATACATAACTAGTTGTAGGATCGTTAACATTTTTTTACATTCACTGGGCATTAGTTTTTAGGTGAAATGATTTACATGCAAATTAGCATGTCTTACCTTGGCTTGCTGTGCCCCCATGCCTCCTCCAGCAGTGCACCCAATTACTGAAAACCCCACTGTCCCCCTCCTCAGCATGTCAGGCCACTGTGGGGCTAATGGAGCTCGCTGTCCTGTTGAGAGGCTCATTTTGACTCAGGTAAGTTGGAAAGGTCGACTAGTCTTCATATCCTGTAATAGAAACATATGACGGTTATAGCATGGTTATAACATAATCTAAGAATAAATACCGAAAAATAATTAAGAAAACTCAAACAATGGAACTAATTAGTATACACAAACAAATTTTACTGCCTGTTCATAGCTGGCCAGATTTGGTGATCCCAAAACTGGCAGAGGTTTAAGTTTTCATTGTTAGCCTCCTAGCA